TGAGGATCGGCCCGCTTATTCCCGGAGCGCGTTGTGTGAGTGTGCACGCGTACGGCTTGGGTTGCTTTCCCTGCGCTGTGTAAATCGGTGATAACTCCACCCGAGTCAGTTGGGTTATCCCAGCCTGTACGGAGGAGCAGGAGTCTGGGTATTTTTAGTCATGCTGGGAGACCTCCCAGTGGCTTTTTTTGTACAGAAACATTTTAAGCTCTCGCAACCTCATCGGGCTCGGTCCAGAAGATGGTTCTGATGCGGGCCGGGGAGCCTGACGGGAAGGGTCTAGGGGCAGGTTTGTCAGACAGCATCCGTGTGCCCGCGAGCAGGGGGAAGAGACAGCCTCCTGGGGAGAGCCGTGAAGTGCTGCACCCTGCTTCCGCGCAGCGAGCACGTCGGGGTGTTTCAGGCCGGGCCGTCCTCCCTTCTGGGTCCGAGCTGCTCTTTTCATAATGGATTGCAAGACAGGTGCGTGTTGGGGGGAGGATGTGTGCCTGGATCCGCAGGGCCGGCTCTGAGGAGCGTGCGCAGAGCGTCTGACCTGACACCGGACACTTGCCTGCGAAGGCAACGTGGGTAACCCCATCCCCTCTCCTCCCTGGCTCCGGCTGCCTGTAATCCTGGAGCGGCGAAGGGGGTTTCAACGCGGGCTGCTGTTGGGAGCCTGCAGCCCGGTGCCTCGTGGGGGTTGCTGGGCCACATCCAGCCAGATTCAGCTAGGCTCCCAAGTCGTGACAGTCTTCAAACTATTTGGCCTGTTTTTGGGGGGGTTTTTTCCCCCTGCTTGAAAGAGCTGGTTCACTGTGTCAGGGGAACCTAAGTTGGAAGCTAGGGCAGGAAACAGAGTTGCAGCATCTGACAAAGTGAGCTTCAGCACGCAAAGGCTTGTGCTATAAATATACGTGTGTGTGTGCATGTGTCTCTAGAAGGTGCAAATCTACCCTGCCTTCTAGGAAACGGAGAGTGCCTGGCATGATGCTGCAGCAATGCAGGACCCGGCGCGGGGGCTTGAATCTGGCTGACGGGGCGGCCGGGGAAGCATGAGGACCCGTGGAGCCAGGTGACATGCGCCTTCCAGGGGCAGGGAGGGGGGAGGCAGGGGACACCTTGCAACAGCTGGAGGGAAAGCCGGCCTGATGGCACCCACCTGCCAGCATGCCCCGTGCCCGGGCGCAGCCTCCAGACAGAGGTGGGGGCACGGGGACAGCAGCGCGTCCTCGCTGCTGGGGTGCTCCCTTTAAGCTTGCAGAGCTGCCTGAGGAAGGCTTAGGCTCCTCCCTGGCTGCTCCCTCTTTGTGATTAAATTCTCTCCAAGAGGCTCAGTTTCCATCTGACTCTGTGAGCCGGCCTCCGTGCCCAGCACGCTGCCAGCCCGTCCCTCCAAGGTGCTGGCCTCACTCGGCATAGTCCCCTTCACGCGTGTTAACCCACCGGGCATCGATGGCTTTACTCCAAGGGTACCGAGCGCACCAGCGTGGCGAGAGGTAAGTCGGACCCAGCCTGGGGACTAAATAGTCCTAGCATTTGAACAGCGCCCATTGGGTGAGAAACCATGCAGCCGGAAAGCCCTGGCTTCCTCCTCTGCCTTGCGAAGAGCCCTTAGTTCTGTGAAAAGCGAGGGAATCACGAGAAAACCTGGTCTGCCCTTGCTGTTTGCAGGGAGTGTTTGCTCTTTCTGTGTTTTTGGCCCCGGCAATGGAAGCATGGGACTTGGTTTCATTTTCGAGTTGAGAAGCCCTAGCTCGGGGTTGCAGCGTTCGGGGCTGCTGGATCTGCGTGCGGCGTTCAAGCGGTTTATCCTGGCAGGACAGCCAGAAAGAAAAGGCACGTCTTCGGGTCCAGAAACGCTGGTGGTTCTGTCTGTCAGCCGCTGCGTTTCGCCACGTTTGCTTTGATGGCGTGCTCTGGAAGTCGGCGGGTCGCCTTTGCATGTGCGCTAGATGGGAAGTCCGATCCCAGCGCCCTCGTGTCTCGCCTTGACCGCTTGCCCTGAGCGAGGTCTGCGGGTCGGTCCTGGGGTCGGTGCCGAAGACAGCCCTGTTTGCTGGCCCTGCAGCGACGGGTGGAGGCCAGAGGGGTAATAACGGAGCTCCTGCCTCTCTCGTCTCGGTCTCCCTGAAGTCAGCGGAGAAAGCGCCATTGATTTCCCTGGGAATCGGTGCCAGTCATGGGAACTTGAGCCCAGCAGATCATGTGGTCGTGTTGATAGGATCACTACTTCTGGCAGCGGTCATGTAGAGTCTTTTTAATTTGAGCTCACATTAGCAGAGAGAGATTTGCTAGCCTCCTGCAACGGGCTTGCTTGCAGTCCGGGCGCGAAGCTGCAGTCACCCAAAAAACACTTGTGAGCACGGGGGAGTGTGGAGGTGCTGCTGGGCATCCTCCCCTTGCTTCGTGACCTGCCCTGGGGAGGGGGGTGGCTTTGCTTTTGTATAGTATGAACGGTGGGCTCAAATCTCTTCCCCCCCCACCTTGGTGTGTCTTGAGAAATGTCGGGAATGTGAAATCTCCCTTTTGTCGGCTCGTTCGGATGTCACAGAAAGGTTTATCAGCAGCTTGCTCAGCCGGGAGAGGAAAGGGCAGCATTGCACAAGCTCCCCAAAGAGGCTTTCTCCCAGGTGGGAGTAAAACCTGGCCGTTTAAGAGCCCGGATAAATCCCCCTCCCCGCCGGAGCAGGCCGGCTCTCGCTCCCCCGCTGCTCGCGCGGCCGTGAAGCCCACCGCCTGGGCTCGGTGCAGGTTTCCGTGGTGGTGGAGACCTGAATCTCTCAGGAAACAAAACAAACAGAGGACAGGGTTGGGGTTTTTTTTTCATATCTAGAACTTGAGCTATCGTCAAGAAGAAAAAAAGTGCAAGGCTTCACTTCCCCTTTCTCTCGAGGCATGTTTCTGGGCCTGGCTCCCGGACAGATGTTGTCACGTCCCCTGGCGAAGCGTTGAGTGAGCACCTCCGGGATGATTCGCAGCCTGCGGAGCTGGAGGGAGATGCTTACAGGCCTGGAGCAGCCCGGCATTGCCCGGGCATGTCGGTGCGGGGCAGACACGGGGATGCCCTGTCAGACGGGGACCTGGACACAGGGCAGGGGTGGTTTTGAGGCTGGGTCGGGGTTTCAGAGGCTCTTGGCTCTTCTCTCTGAGGTGCCGTGAATCCCGGGAGCGTGCGCTGCTTTTTTGGCTCGTCCGAGGCAGAGACCTGCCACCTTTGCAAAGCAGAGACCCGCCGTGGGTTGTGTGTAGGTGTGTGCATTCGTGGGGAGTGGGAAGGAGCTTTCGAGACGAGGAGGAGACGGTTTGGCCTCGCCCTCGTGCCTGAAATGCCAGCCCGTGGGACGCAGGGCCCCTGCGGAGACGTGCGCTGGGGTTTGGGTGGGCAGGAGCCTTGACTTGGCCCTTCCCTGCGTGGTGGTAGGTGGTGAGTCTGGCGTGGGGCCCGTGGACGGCTCTCCCCTCCTTCCCGCTGGAGGGGTGACTTCCCGGGGAAGACACCAGGGGCAGGAGGCCAAGACCACTCTATAAATGTCAAGCAGCCACCAGATCTTCATGGCTCTGGGCCTCCCTGTCTGCCGCCGGGTTTGACCCTCGTCCGGCAGGTGGAGGCCTCTGTGCTCTGCTCCAGCCCCTCCTCGAGGCCGGGGAAGTGGCTCCAAATGTCGCCGTGACCTGGAGCTGCGCTTGCTGGAGGTCAAGCTCATCCTGTAACAGGGCAAGTGTTTCGGGGCGTGCTGTATTTCACGGCGTACGGTTTTTACTCCCCTGCGGAGAATGAATAGCGTCGATACATCCAGCTTGTTCCCAGGCGTGTGCACAGGAGGGTTTTACGTGCCGTGCTTCAAACGGCCGGCTGCACGCTAGGCCAGGGTTTCCATCCCTCGCCACCTGGTCCTGAGAGCTTCCTCGCCGCGTGTGTTTGTGTTTCTTGGGGGACTGTCCTGCCCCAGGCCACAGCTGCCTGCCATCTCCTGGCTTCCTGGACTGCAGCAAAGCAACAGAGGGGAAAATCAAGCCCATCCGACACCAGGAAGTCCTTTTCCCTCCAGCACGTAATGGGAGAGCGGAGCTTATTTCCGTGAGATGCGGAGAAATCACGGGGTCTGCAGGAGGAGGAGGTCAGGTCTGCGGACATGGGAATGTCCTGGTTCGGGGGTGAAGCCGTGCTTGCTCTTGGTGTTAGGGTTTAGGATCAGACCATCGTGACAGGTGGGTCCTCTGCCCGCGGTGGGGTTTATGGACACTCCTGGGAAGCTAATCTTGGAGACAGGGCAGCAGTTTAGTGGGACTGGGGCCTGTTCCCCCCAGTGACCTCGATGCATACAACTCTCACGATGCTGAGGTCTCGCTGCCAGGTGATATCCGAGGTGCTGCTCTCACCAGAGGCGAGAGACCGCGTAGCCTTCATATCCCACGCTATTGGCATCTGGGCCTTCGCATGAGAAGCCCTAGCTCAACATCCTGAGTCAACCTTTAAAACAGAGGAAGCGCTGGGAGTGTGTTTCCTACTATACCGGCGGCTAAAAAAGTACATTGTACTCTGAAACACATTTCCACCGGCTTCCCCCTCCTGCTCCCAGCACCCCAGCGGTGTGCCTGGGCCCTGCGTTTGTGCATGTCGCAGGAAACTTAGGCATGCAAACCACCTTCACCCAGTTCACATGCAAATGCAGCTGGCTCCTTAATGAAGGTGGGTGGAAGATCTGTCCAAAATTGTGAGCAAATCATCTGTGACCAGATGCCTTCCTCTAGTACGGAAGATGCCTCGACCAAGTGTTTTCTAATGGCTTTTCCCTGCTCTTCTGAAATGGGTGTGCTCTCGGTTGCCTCTGGGGCCGTCTGGGAACAGGCGGCCACGTGACGGGGACGCGTGGCCGTTACATCAGAACGGGTCGCGTTCTGCCGCGGGGCTCGGCACGGCTCGGCTCGGCTCGGCTCGGCTCCCCCGCCCTCGTAGCCCACCGAGGCATCGGGGTCTCTGCGTCTCCAGCGCAGCCTTTCCGGATCCGGGGCGGTCGGGGAAGGCGGCCTCGGCGCCTCCCCGTTGAGCCCGTCCGGAGTCTCCGCGCCGGAGCAGCCGGCTGCCATCGCGCAGGCCGAGCGCGCGTGTTGTCTGCGGGAGGAAGCGAGCGCCGTGCCGGAGGATGCTGAGTCACTCGCAGGCTGGCAGCGCTGATAGAAGGGGGCCCGAGCGGGGGTGAATGGCTCGGACGGTCACGCTGACGCACATCCACGCTGCGCCCAGCTCTCGCTCCGGGGCTGCCGTCTTCCTGTGTCGTCTCGTGTCCCATCAGGTCAAGCGACATCCTGAGCGCCCGCGGCGATTCGGGGCGCGTTGGGCAACACCAGGCTGGCGCGGCGCCGATACCATCTCCCTGCCACCGCGCAGGAAGTCCCGTGGTCCAGCTTCCCAACGGGTCGCGGCTCCGTCACGCCACTGCTTGCAGACGAGGAGGGAACGCGTCCGCGGCTGCGCTGAGCACCAGATCTCCTTGCTTGTTCTGGGCAAGCCGGGGACCCTCTTGGATGCCTCAAAAGAAATAGAAGCCATTCCCAGTGCCCATTCTGCAGCCCGGGAATGGCAGGATACGTAGCTCGGTGTGAGAGGAGGGTGTTCCCTGTTCGTACAGCATGCTGGCTCCGATAAATGCTCCATGCAGACAAAAGGTACGGTGGTCCGCCGGCTCAGCCCCACCTGCCACGGCAGAGGGGCGAGTGGGAGATCGCAGATCTAATGCAGGTGGCTCGGGTTGACCCGCGCGAGATTGGTCCGTGCCCAGGACGGCGGGCCGGGGAGCTGGGTCTCCAGGCTGTCGCGCACCTGCAGCTCTCTGCGGGAACGTGATAGCGTTGGAGGACGGTGGAAGGTGACTGGAGGGGTTTTGGCACGTGGTGGGGTCTGCCTCCCCGGGCCGGCCTGGCAGATCTGCTCCGGGGAAAGAGGGCTTTGGAAAAGAAGGCCAGTGGGACTCTCAGGATCGCACCCCCTTTGAGGAAGGTGTGACCTTGCAAACGTCTGCAGCCGTTGGGTGTAACGTGCACTTGTATTGGCGTGCGGGGCCCGTCCGATCAGGTGCCTCCTGGGGGGGATGCGAGGCCTGCGGTGATGAACTGGGGACCTCCGGCACTAAAAGCACGAGCCCCAGGCCTAGCTCTGTAGGAGGTGGCTGTCAGCAGCCTGGTCCCTCTGTGTGAGCACGGTGGGGCGCTTGCAGCCCGCGGGTGGGCCTGCATGACGGGTACACCTGCCGGGCCAGAATCCAGGCCTCTCTCCCGTGCCACCAGACCTCTGCGGAGCCGCCACGACTATGAAGAAATAAAAATGCCGCTTGTGTTGCTGCCTTCAGGAGATAGGACTCTGGGTGATCTGACGTTGGCCTCCGACTGCGGATTTCACTGCCACCTTCTTCCTGACTTGCACCGGCAGCACGAGGAGAGTTGGCCCCGAGAGCCTGGCTGCTAAACAGCAAGGTGCCTTTGTGGTGGGCTCTGCTCCAGCAGCGCCTGCCCCTGCGCCGGCCGGCCAGCCGTCTCCTTGCAGGATTGTCCAACGAGCGATCCGCCCTGGAGAGGAAGGGGTCTGGAGGTCTGGCTGCTTTGCGGGCCCTCCCCGGAGAGCACGGCGAGCAAGTTCGGTTTGCAAAGGAAAGGGTTCCCCGGTGCCCATTCTGCATTGTTATTCGGCCGCCTCGCCAGGCCCACCCGAGAGATGCAAGCGGGGGCCCATGGAGGAAGGATGCAGCAAAGGCCGAGGGCTGGCAAACGGAGCCGGAGCTGACACGGGAGCGTGGAAAGCACAGATGGGAGCCCCAGCCTCGGGGTTATTCTGGTTCAGCTGGTGGCACGGATGAAAGCTGCCCGGGTTTGACTCTGCCAAGCAAAAGCTTCAACCCAGCAGCTCCTGGAAAACCAGGCCGAATGCCCAGAGCTGCGCTTGGGGGTGGAAGGGGGCAGGTGGCCTGTGTCTGCCTTGGGAGCTTCCTCAAGGTCAAGGCTGCCTGCAGAGTCCTTGCCTGCGCCGCTTTGCACCTTTCCAGCCAGCAGTGGAGATACGGAGATAAGCCAGTGGGGATCGGGCCCGGCTGCGATACCAGAGGTTTGCAGCCCACGAGTGAATATTGCGAAAAACCAACACGCTAGAAACCCCCTCCTCCCCGCTGGGTGAAGCGCTGGGCAGCAAGGAGCAGTCCTGTGTGTGGAGAGCCCCGGCGGGTGAAATACCCGGGGGTTGTGGGCAGGTGACTTGCAAGACGTGCCGCCTCTCCCAGGTGGTTTGGGAGCGGTGCCCGGCTCGGGGGCACCATGCCCAGAAGAGCAGAGGGTTTCAGAGGGCAGGGACGTGCCTGGGGGAGACAGCTTCTGTAGCTGGAAAGGCTCCGAGGTCTCCCTCTGCCTTGTCTGAGCGGTACAGGAGGCACTTGCCCCCGCCCCAGGGCAGCTAGCTGCCCCTGGCTGGGCTGCCCGCGTACCCATGTCCCCATTTTGGGACAGGTGCTCCCGCCATGCACCAAGTGCTGTGATTGCTCCTGGCCTGGCTTCCCGCCCAGGGGCTCGGCCTCTGGAGAAACGACACTGGAGACGCAGTGAAACCCAACGCGGCTGTCAGCCAGGGGTAGAGCCAGGCCTGGGTTGGCATGGAAAGGAGCTCTGTGCAGCGGGGATCTGCTTCCTGGCACGCCTGGCCAACGGGGGTTGTGTCGTCTGAGAGGCAGGGAGACCGAGGCACGGGGCAGCTGCGCGATGTGCCCTTGAGGCCACCTCCCCTTTGCTCCCCGGAGAGGAGCGCCTCGCTGCTGGGGAAGCAAGATGTCTCGTGTCGCCCCTGGCACTAAGATGCCGCGGGCACCAGAGAGAGCAGGGCATCGTGGCCCCGGCGCCTGGGGTGTAGCCAGCCTCTCTGGGCCCCGTTCCCTGTCCCTCGACTCCCCCAGGCAGAGGCAGGGAGGATGCAGCTCTTCCTTAAAGCAGCTTCTTGCCCTCTGTCTGAGCTCCGCTTGCACACGGCCAGTTCCTCAAATCCTTTCCCCCTGCAGCGATTGGGTGTTTGTCTGAATACAAAACCCCGGGGTCTGAGCGGGACTGGGGCTGGTCTCGCGCTCGTCCCAGAGCACCGCTCTCCCTCGGTCCTGCGTGGCCCTGGGCAGTGGGAGCACTGTTGCCCAGGCTCCGTGGTGTCTCCCCTGCTCCCCTTCCAGCAGCCGTGGGGACAAGCCGCCGCGATGCGGCCCCCCGGCTCCTAACCTCGCTCTCCGGCTCATCCAGGAAGGCCCCTCACTTCGCCCTTTGTCTTTTGCAGCCTGCCGGAATCGCTCCAGCCACGGCAATGAATGGGCACACGTTCGCGGCCGGCCGTCCAGCGCATCCCCGCGGCTGGCATGAGTTCTGCGAGCTGCACGCCATCAGCACGGCCCGGGAGCTCGCCCGGCAGTACTTGCGCTTCGCCCACGAGAACCCCCACCATGAATTGCTGGCGGCCGAGAGCTTCTCGGTGCAGTTCGCCCACCTCTTCCAGCAGTACTTCTGCAACGAGGTGAAGGAGGGCTTCGCCATGAGCCAGTACCGGTTCCTGCCCTTCAGCCGGGTGCGCGACTACCGGGAGACGGGCCGGCGCCACACGGACAGCTCTCTGAGCACGGTGGCTGCCAAGGCAGAGGTGGAGCTGAGCGCCCGCCCCGACCAAGCTGACAGGACCCCTGACACTACGCCGACCGGCCTGCCCAAGGCCTGGAGCTCCGAGGAGCTGACGGGTCCCACCTCCCCGCTGACTGCCCGCCGGCATTTCTCCTTCACCCACCTGCGCAGGAGCTGGCGCAACCTCTTCCGCCGGAGATCCTCAGAGGCCGTCTCTGGCGAGGGCGGGGAAGGGGAGGCCTCTGAACCCGTGCTTAAACCTGGCCTGAGCAGGAGGATTCTGCCTTGGTCGCGGGAGCAAGCCCCCGAGGCACGCAAAGAGGGGCTCTTGAGGTACGGGCTGGTGGATGAGACCTCCATGGACAGCGGGACGCGGTGGCAGCGGTGCCGGCTGGTTCTGCGCAAGGCGGGGGCAGCCGACGGCGAGGACCACGTCCTGGAGCTCTTTGATCCCCCCAAGGTAAGAGACTGGCCATGCCTGGGACCTCCTTCCCCGGGCGCTGTCGTGTCCGAGGCTTTGTAAATCGGTGCTCTGCTTTTGTGAAGAGACGTGGCCTGGTCCAGGGGCCAGTGGACACTTCCCGGGCTGGGGCTGGGATCTGGGGGTCTGTCGGGAGGAGGCCAGCCAGGCTCCAGTGCCTCTTGTGGGATTGGCACCAGCTGATGTGCCTGACGTAGGGGGTGGGGAGCGGAGCCCTCCTTGGGGTCCAGGATTGGGCCCGCGGTGGGCATCTCAGTGCAGTGCTCGTTGCAGCGTGGCTGCCCACGAATGGAGCCGAATCGGCTCCAGGCTTGTCCCTGGCTCCGGGAGCTCCCTGGCACATGCTCCCCGTGAGCACGGCTGAGCCGGCCCGGCCCGGCCCGGCCCTGTCCAGCCAGCACACCCGTGTCCCGTTAGCAGAGGACTCTGTGGAAGCTGACACCAGCCCTGAGCCCACGCCTGCTTTGTGACCAGCCCGGTGAGGAGGGCTCTCCCCTCGCTTGGCTTCCTCCACGGCTCGGCAGACATCGCTGCTCAGACCCAGCCACGGCCTCGGGCTGGTCGGAGGATTGAGCGTGGGGACCAGGCGAGAGCCAAGTGGATGCCAGGACAGGATGCTTTGTGCCGTGGGCCCTGCTCCCTAGTGAGATCAGCTCTGTTGTGAGACCTGTTTTGCCCCGGTCCGGAGCATTGCTATGATGAAGGCAGGGCAGCGCCGGTGCGGCCTTTCCTAGCCAGCCTCTGTGTCTAACAGGGGCCTCCTTCTCCCTGAGGCATGGAGCACAGAAGTGACTTGACCAAGGGTATGTGGCGAGTCAGTGGCAGAGCTGGCAATGGCATTTGGGGGCTGATTCTGCCATTCTGCTGGTGAGACTATTGATGGGGAGATTGGACCCGTCCTGTTCTCACTCCCGTAGCGTCGGTGCTGTCGTGTGGGTCCCAGCAGCAGCTGTGGGATAGGAGCACCCTCCTCTTGCACCCCTGAGCAAAGCATCCCCCCACCCTGTGCCAGAAAGGGAGAGGGGACCTGCTTCCAGCTGGAAAGCTGCAGCATTTTGGGGCCAAGTCCTGTGCTGGGAGAAGCCCATAGCAAGTCTGGGCAGGTGGATGCACCCAGGAGCAGGGGCCGGGCCTCGGCTTTGCCTCTGGGACCGTGCATTTAGCAAGGTGTATGCTGTGCTCTCCTCTGGGGGTCGGGAACGGGCCAGCCTGCACCTGGGACCTGGTTCTGCAGGCAGCTCGGACACGGCCCCTGCTACCTCCTACTTGGGTGGCATAGGCCTGGGCGCCCAGGGGTCCCCTGACACAGGACCCTCAGGCCTGCGGGAGCTGCCCCTGTCCCCAGCTGTGTGCTGGTGCTTGACACGGGGCCTCACGCCTCCGTCCCCAGGCCGCTTTGTTTCTCTGAGCCATTTGTGCACGCTGGGAGAGCAGACTTGGCCAGCTCTGGGATACTCCAGGATGTTAGTCAGCTCATAAAATCAGGGCTGGGCAGGACTTAGGACAGGGAAGGCTGAGCCATTGCAAGGGAAGGGATTTGTAGCCAAGTCCTCCTGCCCGGCTGGCCTGGACCGGGGCGGGGGGAGGTTATTTTTTGTGAGTGCACATTTCACTCGAATGGCTCGTTAACCCTCCAGAGGAAGGAACCAGGGGTGCGAGGTTCTGCATCCTTGTCCCTGCGATGACGTGCAGCCACGGACCTCTGCTACAGCCCCCAGTGCAGCCAGGGATGCAGCGGCTTGAACTTCCTGATATTTCGAAGCTTAGGCAAGCAAAACACCACAGGACTGAAAAAACCCGGGGCTTCCTGTCTGCAGCACCGAGACGCAGGAAAGGGCCAAAGTGCCCCTTTCGGTGCTAACTGCAACCCTCGGCTCCAGGTGAAAGGCCCTCCGTTGCCCCGCGGCTGCATGCCGTCCGTGCTGTCTGCGCGGCAGGGAGCCCTGGGGATGCGCCTGCTCACAGCCCTGGCCGCGCTGTGGTCTCCGGGGCCCGTGCGTTTGCGGTGATGCTGCGTTGCATGTGCCGCTTTCACTTTTTATGGCTCCACATAGCGCGTGAGGCAGGAGAAACCCGCTTTGGCCTCATGGCTCCCCACCGGCTGCCCTGAGCCCAGGACCGGCGGTCTCGGGGGACCCTGGCCAGCTACCCTGCATCTGACGACCCTCCGGACTCTGTCCTGGGTAGTCCGAGGCCCTCGGACCTGCTCCTGTTTCATGCGAAGCCGGGGGCATAAGCATGCCTTTGGGCACCTGCCAGAGTCACAGGGAAAGGAGAAGCACCCCCGCCCCAACTCTTCCTTGCTCGCTCTGTGGGGCTGCCCCAGCCCCCCACCTCCTCGCTCGCTCGGTGGCTTTCATCCCTCAGCTGTGCCTGGGGCAGTCACGGCAGGTGAGCAGTGGAGCCCGCGAGCCCGCGTGAGGATGTGGTAACGTGCTTGCAAATCACGTCTCGTGGCAAGCAAATCTAGAAGCTCGGTTTGGCCTTGCTCTGGGTCCCACCGAGCTAGCCGCTCGGGCAGGGGGGAGCAAGGTTCCCCTGCACGGCTGCATGGACTTGGCTGGGTGAGGGGGTGTGCTTCGTGTCGTCCCCCGCAGCTCCCAGCCTCCGCCTGCCCGCTATCTCCTGCTTCCCAGTAGGGCCGGGGGCACAGCCTGGAGGTTTTGGCAGAAAACAGAAACGTCTCTGCAATGACCTTGGGGAAGCTAATCGCGATTGCACTTGGCTCATGCGCCGCTGCCGGAAACGGAGCTGGCTGCAAACAGAAAGTGAATCCTAGTGCCACAGTTGTGCAAAAAGCAAACAAACGGCAGCCGAGAGGAACCGAAATTGCCCTTTCTTTTTTTCTTTCTCCCCACCCAAGTCTCCGGGCCCCATCCTGAAGCCCAGTCCTGCCCCGGGCAGCATTCGGGCTTCCCCCTGTAAAACAGAGCAGGATTCGGGCTGCACGGGGATCAGGTTTGGGGCCCCGTGCTATTCGTCCTTTGTCCCCGTCCCAGCCTGGCCCAACCTCAGATGCTCCCGGGTGGTGGATCGGGGTCCAGCCCTCGCGAGGCTCGTGGCAACCAAGAAAGAGCAAACAACCCCTTTTTTGGTTGCTTTGCATGTTAGAGCTGGGCCTTGAGCCACGGTTTCTGAACACTGGAGGGTGGTGGTGCTCAGAAAGCAGCGTCCTTTTCCTGCCTGCCGGGCTTCACAGCCCTTGGGTTGCCTTGGGTCACGTCTTCAAGCTTTCGGGGTTGTTGTTTTTTCATAAGCACGTGGGGCCTACGGGCTTTTTTTCCTGGAAGAGGCGAGTTGAGCCTGGTCACGGGCTTCTAGGAACTGAGCAGCAAATGGCACGAGGCTGCAATAGTGAGAGGAGCTGACGACCCTGGGGTCGCTGTTTGTGTGCTGGGTGTGTATACGTGTGTGTGAGCCCCCACCACGGCTGTCCTGGGGCTCGGCGGGCTTCCCTTGCTCCGCCGGGCAAGGGTATTGTCCAGCCGGCCCTTGGCAGGCTCCTGGACAGGCTGCCCTGGGGGCGATGCCAGCAGCCCCAGGTATTTTCAGATCATCCATGTCATCCAGGCCTCTATCTGGGTCTCGTCCCCTGGCGCTGGGGAATGAGGTTGCATTTAGGCTTGGCATTTGCAAGGGCATTAAAAATAGATCCCCGTGAAGAAGCGACTTGTGTCTCTGGAGCCTGGGGGGGTTGGCTACGAACCCATTCAGCCTGTGTGGGCAGGCCTGGCGGGCTAGAGCGGGCCACGAGACGGAGCTTGCATGGAGCAGCCAGCTCCATGCTTTTCTCTCCTTGCCGCCCCGCTTCTCGAGCTATTTATAGTTCTGCACGTCTTATTTTCTCTCCCCGCAGGCACCCCGGGGCTCTCCTCGCACAGCTTCTCCGTGCTTTTGCTTTGCTGCTTGTTAGTTGTAAGTGAAGTGCCAAAAAAGGGGGCGGGCAGGGAAGAAGGGGTATGCTCTTGGCACAGCTGCGGTCTGTGGGTGGAGACGGCCACCTGTTCTGAGGTTTGCAAATAAATCCTCCGTAAACACCCCGCTCGGGGCAAAGGCAGCGCCGCTGATGCTCTCGTGGGTCCTCTGCCCCTCGGGGACTGGCTGAGGTCGGTCTCCGGAGCTGCTGCGGGGTTGCACCGAGATGAAAACCCGGCCTCGGCCCGCTTGGAAGACCCCTTGAGCCTGCAGAGGCTCGGATGAGCGGGACCCTGCCCGCGGCTTATTCCACCGCGGGCAAGGAGGGTTGCCGATCTCCTCTCTCGGAGACCCCACTGGCAAGGGAGAGCCCCTCGGTGCTGGCTCCTGCTTTCAGTCCACACCTGAGTTGAGCCGATGCTTGCTCTGTTCCTCGTGCTCCTGTCCAGGGGACGGTGCCTAGGAGATGGCTGCAGCCATCCGGGGCATTTAGAGTGCGGGCAGGAGGGTGGCCAAGCTGGGATTTGGGGAGCCCCCCATGGGCTGAGCACAGATGTGGATACGGGGATAGGACCCTGCTCCTGTGAGCTGGATCAGTAGATCCCGAGGCTGTTGTGCTTTGTTCATGCTCTGGGAGTCGAGGGACTGATAAGAGATTGTCTCCAGGGAAGCGCTGGGCACCTGAGGCTTGCGAGAGTCCGTAAGGGAGATGAGCGTGGGCAGAAAGAGCACTGCTGATGGTGGCTCGTTTTACACACGCTCCCAGGGCCAGTGGCTTGAGGTCTGGGGCTGCGTCCTGGTGCTTCCAAGGTATCCCCTACGGTGGGACTTCGGTCATGAGTTGACCCGGCCACTGCCCTATGGTCCCATAGTGCCAGCAGAGCCTGGCTGTGCAGGTCGGTGCAGGGGCTGTCCCACGTTTTGCTGCAGGGAGGCAGCGTAGGCAAGGGAGATAGCGTGATTCCTGCCCTGCCAGGGGTTTCCTCTCTTCCCCTGAAGTATCGACCCAGCGTCATGCCAGGGATGATGGTAGGCAAGTGACTTAAGTGCTCTGGGCTCATTGG